TAAATAAATGCCCCGGGGTGTGGTGGTCATGCCCTGTAATCCAAGTTACTTTTGGGAGGCAACGGGTGGCAGGATACTGAGGTCCCCAGCCTGGGCAACCAGCCAACCCGCGTCTCTCACTTAAAAAAATACAAAAATTAGCCGGCATGCGTAGGTGCACGGCTATCAAATCCAGGCCTACTCGGGTTCCTATGACAGGGAGAATTGCTTGAACCTGGAGCAGAGGTTACGAGTGGCAGCCAAGATTGCACCACTGCACTCCAGCATGGGAGACAGGGAGCAAGACTGTCAAAAAAAAAAAAAAAAAAAAAAAAAAAAAAAAAGGCAGGTGGCTCACACTTGCAATCCCAGCACTTTGAGGAGGCCAAAGTGGGAGGATCACTTGAGCCTAGGGAGTTTGAGGCCACCGTGAGCTATGATCACACCACTGCACTGCAGTCTGGGTGACAGAGGGAGACTCCTCTCTAAAATGAAATTAAATTAAAAATTTAAAACAATCAATAAAAGAAGGAAAACTTAGCCACTGAAAGTGTCCCGATGTATCAAGGAGGAAGTGGCCAGTTCCAAGGCAGAAAAACCCATCTTGTCACAGATATTGCACCTCACTCAGTTTCGTGCATGTTTATTTATTTATTTATTTATTTATTTTATTTTATTTATTTTTTTATTTTATTTTTGGAGATGGAGTCTCGCTGTGTGGCCAGGCTGGAGTGCAGTGGCACGATCTCAGCTCACTGCAAGCCTCCGCCCCCGGGTTCACGCCATTGTCCCTGCCTCAGCTCCCAAGTAGCTGTGACTACAGGTTGCCACCACACGCCCAGCTAATTTTTTGTATTTTTTTAGTAGAGGCGGGGCTTCACCGTGTTATCCAGGATGGTCTCGAGCTCTTGCCTTGTGCAGATTTTAGAATCTGGAGAAATGATCCCCTAAACTGTTAACAGTCATTATCGTCTCTGGGGCTGAGGCTCGAAGGCTGGAGATGACCAGGAGCTTCCACCTTCTGGTTATTTGATTTTCTTTTCTTTCCTTCTTTCTTTTTTTTTTTTTTCTTTTTTTTGAGACGTTTGCCTCTGTTACCCGGCTGGAGTGCAGTTGTGTGATCTCTGGCTCACTGCCAAACCTCCTATTTATTTATTTATTTTTTAAATAGAGACAGGGCCTGGCTTTGTTGCCCAGGCTGCTGGAGTTAGTGGTGTGATCATAGCTCACAGTAGCCCCTAACTCCTGGGCTCAAGTGATCTTCCCGCCTCTGCCTTCTGAATAGCTGGGACTACAGGCACGTGCCACCACACCTAGCTAATTTTATTTTTTAAAATGTTTGTGGAGATGGGGGGGTGGGGTCTCACTATGTTACCCAGGCTGATCTAGAACTCCTGGCCTCAGGGGATCCTCCTGTCTCCGCCTCCCAAGTACCTGGGAATACAGGCACATGCCACCGCAGCCAGTTCACTGTTCACTACCAAGGGCCAGGCCATAATTTATTTAATCAACCCTCAAGAGATGGGTATTTGGGCAGATTCTGATGTTTTGAGCAGCATCAACATCTCAGCAGACTACATCTTTGTGTCCTTTGACAGCAAGATAGCTTTTAGGTGAAGCAGGGGGTGCGATTCTAGCTCTGCCCTTGACTGACTGTGTGACAATCCTCAGCCTCAATGTCCTTATCTGTGAAATGGGGTAGTTAGCGATGGGGTTTGCCTGCTGGGCAGACATTATGAGATAGTGCAAGCCCAGTGCTGAGTACTTGCCAGGCACATGCCCGGAATCATTCCTTCTCTAATCCCTCCTTTCCCCTCCCCTCCCCTCCCTTCCCCTCCCTTTCATTTTTTTTGAGACAGAGTCTCACTTTGTCTCCCAGGCTGGAGTGCAGTGGTACGATCTGGACTCACTGCAACCTCTGCCTCCTAGGTTCGAGCGATTCTCCTGCCTCAGCCTCCTGAGTAGCTAGGACTACAGGTGCCCGCCACCACACCCGGCTAAGTTTTTGTATTTTTGTTTGTATTTTTAGTAGAGACAGGGTTTCACCGTGTTAGCCAGGATGGTCTCGATCCCCTGACCTTGTGATCCACCTGCCTCGGCCTGCCAAAGTTCTGGGATTACAGGCATGAGCCACCGCACCCGGCCGTTTTTAATTGTTTTTGTTACTGTTTTTGGAAGTGGGGTTTCAATATATTGCCCAGGCTGGAGTGCAGTGGGACAATCTCGGCTCACTGCCACCTCCACTTCCCAGGCTTAAGCGATCCTCCCACCTCAGCCTCCCGAGTAGCTGGGACTACAGGCATGAGACACTGTACCCATCCCAGATTTGGCTGTTTTTATCATTTGCTATTTCGATTCTGGTCCCATGACCTAACTCTCCCTCTCACCCTTGCAAGAGTGTTTGTTTGTTTGTTTGTTTGTTTTCCAAAGCGGGGATGCTCACCCGAGGCAATGCTGACCCCCAGGAGACACTTGGCAATGCTGGAGACATTGGTGGTTGTCGCACCCAGGGTGGGGGCTGCTGCTGGCATGGAGTGGGTGGAAGCCGGGGATGCTGCTTAACGCCCTGCTGTACACGGGACACCCCCACCGCAGAGAATGATCTGGCCCCACATGTTAATGATCCTGGGGTGGAGAAACCTGTTCCTGGGAACCCCGAGACTCTTACCCAAGGAGTCCGGGCAGAGAGCGTCTAAAAGGCGGAGATATTCTCGCTGGGAAGTCAGGAGTGTGTATCCCGTCAGGGCTGTGGAGCCAAGGGGGTGACCCCCATTTTCATATTCCTACAAAAGGCACCCAGAGAACCAACATGGGACAGGTCTGAACGGTGGCTTCTGTGTCCCAACTGTACTATCAAGGGAAGATTTCAGATGAGCTGAAAAATCCTCTGCCCCTCCCCACTCCTCCCTCCCTCTCCTTTCCTCCATTCCTCCCTCTGTCTTTTTTTTGTTTTTGAGATGGAGTCTCGCTCTGCCGCCCAGGCTGGAGTGCAGTGGCATGATCTCAGCTCACTGCAACCTCCGCCTCCTGGGTTCAAGCGATTCTCCTGCCTCAGCCTCCCGAGTAGCTGGGATTACAGGCACCCATCACCACACCAGGCTAATTTTTGTATTTTTAATTGAGACGGGGTTTGGCCACATTGGCCAAGCTGGTCTTGAACTCTTGACCTCAGGTGATCCACCCCGCCTCGGCCTCCCAAAGTTTTGGGATTACAGGCATGAGCCACCGTGCCCGGCCCTAGGTTTTGTATTTTTAGTAAAGACGGAGTTTCACCATGTTGGCCAGGCTGATCTTGAACTCCTGGGCTGAAGGGATCCATTCGCCTCAGCCTCCCAAAGGGCTGGTATTACAGGCATAAGCCACCAGGCCCAGCTCTCCCTCCCTTTTTTCCCTCCTCTCTCCATCCATCCTCCCTCTGTCCCCATAACTTCCTCCCTTCCTCCCTCCTTCCCTTCCTTCCTCCTGTTCCTGCCCTCTCTCTCCCTCCTTCCCTTTCCCCTTTCCCTTTTCCCTCCCTTCCTCCCTCAGTCCCTGAGCTCCCAGCACCCACTGACTCCCCACGTGCCGGGCCAGTCCCAAGTGCTGTCTGAGGACCCTCTTGTTGAACCCTCAAAGCCCTACGTGGTGTGAAACATCATCACCCCATTTCACAGAAGTGAAAACAGTTTCAGAAAGGTAGTGATCGCTCCAAGCTCCCCAGCCAGAAAACAGAGCGGTCAGAGGCGTGACTTGCAAAGGCTCCAAGAGGTTGCCTATGACAGGCCAGACACATAGCGGCCCAAGATTCATCCTGGGTGATTGATAGAGGTGTGGCTATGCTGAGAGATGGAGCCCACAAACCTCGAGGCTGGTGGGAGTGGGAAGGAAGGGCCCAGAAGCAGAAAGACCACGTGCCAATCACGCACCTCCTTGTGGCTGAACCACTCCAGGCGGCCGTCCCCACGCAGAACGCAGAAGATCGGCTGCCACCGGGGTGGGTGGCCCCGAAGCTGGGTCAGGGGTCCTCGGTGCTCACGGACTCGGGGCAGCTTCTGCAGGAGGAGGGACCAGTGGGTGTCAGGGGGCTGTGGGCTGTTGTCCCTGTGGCCCGACCACCCAGACAGCTCCCACTGTATCCTGGGATGATGCTCAGGTCCCGTGATGCCCCAGACTGGACAGGGACAGTCCCAGGCGGGAAGGGGCTCTGTGTCCACAGCTCCTGGAGCCCCCCGCCCTGGGTGGGCACAGCTGGGAGGTGGGGCGTTCCAGAGAGGCAAAAAATCTCAGGCCGGATTGGAGCATGGGACCAAGCATTAGTAATAAGCATGGATCCCAGGTTCAAATCACACCTCTGCAGTGTGACCTCGGGCAGGCCATTTGGCCTCTCTGTGCCTTAGTTTCCTCATTGGTGAAAGACCCGTCTACCAAGAGGGTGAAGACTGAGTGAGTTGTGTGGGGCTCGCAACTTCATGGCTCCAAAGACGTCTGGAGGCCAGGCGCAGTGGCTCACGCTTGTAATTCCAGCACTTTGGGAGGCCGAGGTGGGGAGATCACTTGAGGTCAGGAGTTCGAGACCAGCCTGGCCAACATGGTGAAACCCCATCTCTACTAAAAATACAAAAATTACCCAGGCGTGGTGGCGGGCACCTGTAGTCCCAGCTACTCGGGAGGCTGAGGCAGGAGAATGGCGTGAACCCGGGAGGCGGAGCTTGCAGTGAGCTGAGATCCGGCCACTGCACTCCAGCCTGGGCGACAGAGCGAGACTCCGTCTCAAAAAAAAAAAAAAAGTTACTCCATTCCACATCATGATATGCTAACTTGTTTGGATTGTGAACCCCAGAGGTTACGGCAGGATCTGTCCTTGTCACTGGACAAGGACAAGGGCTGTGTGTCCTCATGCCCAGCCCATGATGTGGCATGAATTACACGCTCAGTGAATGGTTTTGTGTGTGTGTGTGTGTGTGTGTGTGTGTTTTGACAGAGTCTAACTCTGTCACCCAGGCTGGAGTGCAGTGGTGCAATATGGGCTCACTGCAACCTCCACCTCCCAGGTTCAAGCGATTCTCCTGCCTCAGCCTCCCGAGTAGCTGGGACTACAGGCGCCCGCCACCACGCCCGGACATCATGATATGCTAACTTGTTTGGATTGTGAACCCCAGAGGTTACGGCAGGATCTGTCCTTGTCACTGGACAAGGACAAGGGCTGTGTGTCCTCATGCCCAGCCCATGATGTGGCATGAATTACACGCTCGGTGAATGGTTTTGTGTGTGTGTGTGTGTGTGTGTGTGTGTTTTGACAGAGTCTAACTCTGTCACCCAGGCTGGAGTGCAGTGGTGCAATATGGGCTCACTGCAACCTCCACCTCCCAGGTTCAAACGATTCTCCTGCCTCAGCCTCCCGAGTAGCTGGGTCCACAGGCGCCCGCCACCATGCCTGGGTAATTTTTGTTTTTTTAGTAGAGATGGGGTTTTGGGGTTTCACCATGTTGGCCAGGCTGGTCTTGAACTCCTGACTTCTGGTGACCCGCCTGCCTCGGCCTCCCAAAGTGCTGAAATCACAGACGTGAGCCACCTTGCCTGGCTTCTCAGTGAATGTTTATTCAAACAATGAATATTTAAAGTCACCCTATGGCAATGGCAAAGGTCTGAGGTTGGAAGCATGTCCTAGGGAGGGCTCCTCCAGGACCCTCTCCCCAAACTCAAACGTCCTCCGCCCCTACAACACCCACTTTGCTGCGTAGCAATTGGCTTCCAGCCGGCTCCTGAGGGCCCAGCTCTCGGGAAATCTGCCGCAGGATAGACGCTGCCAGCTGCCCGCGGTAGCAGGGCAGGAAGTTCCTCATCAGGATGTCCACCTGACCTGCAGGGACAAGGAGACAGTGAACCCAGCAAATTGAATCTGCCCAGGAGACCTGCTTGGGGAGGGCAAAACAGACAGGGAAGCCACCTGGGGGCTCCTACAGTCATCCTGAGCTGCCGGACAAGTTGTCACCAAATTCCATTCGCCCTTCACCCTCCGTGCCTCTTTCCATCCATGTGGCTGGATGAGGGAGCTTCTTTATTTTTATTTTATTTTATTTTTTGAGATGGAGTCTCGCTTTGTTGCCAGGCTGGAGTGCAGTGGTGCGATCTTGGCTCACTGCAACCTCTGCCTCCCGGGTTCAAGCAATTCTCCTGCCTCAGCCTCCCGAGTAGCTGGGACTACAGGCGCCCGCCACCACGCCCGGCTAATTTTTGTATTTTTAGTAGAGATGGTTTTGTTGTTGTTATTGTTTTGATGCAGTCTCACTCTGTTGTCAGGCTGGAGTGCAGTGGCACTAACACAGCTCACTGCAACCTCCACTTCCTGGGCTCAGGTGATTCTCCCATCTCAGCCTCCCAAGTAGCTGGGACTACAGAGACTACAGGCGCCCACCACCACGCCTGACTAATTTTTCTATTTTTAGTAGAGACGAGGTTTCACCATGTTGCTCAGGCTGGTCTTGAACTCCCGGCTCCTTCGCTCGTCTTGTCCTTTTTTTTTTTTCTGGAGACAGGGTCTCTGTCCCCCAGGCTGGAGTGCAGTGGTGCAATCTCAGCTCACTGCAGCCTTGACCTCCTGGGCTCAAGTGATCCTCCCACCTCAGCCCTACTCCAGTAGCTGGGATCTTGTGCACGTGCCACCATGCCCAGCTAATTTTTTTTTAATTTTATTTTTGTAGAGACAAGGTCTTGCTGTGTTATCCAGGCTGGTCTCAAACTCCTGGCCTCAAGCGATTCTCCCACTTTGGATTCTCAAAGTGCTGGGAATACAGGTTGAGCCACACCTTCACTGAGACCTCATGAACCATGTAAGCATATGCTTTGCTGAGCTTGGACACAATCACACATCCATGAAACTCTCACCACAATCAAGATAATGAGCGGATCCATCACACCCAAAAGTGGCCCCATATGCTTTACCTGGGGAGCTTTTCAAAAGCTTTTAAAGCTCCAAAGCACACAAGGGAACTTTCTGTGAGTGATGGAGGTGTCCTGTATCCTGATCTATCTAGGAAGTAGTCACATGGGTGACTAGCTCTTTGAGCTGTTGCCCTAAGGCGTGTACACTTGACTGTACATAAAACATACTTCCATTCTGCTGCCCGGAATGTGGACCCAATGGCTGGAGCTCCAGCGGCCATTCTGTGCCATGAGGCTATCTTGGACACAGGAATCCACACATGGCAGAGCCATGAGATGGAAGGACTTCAGGTGTCTTTTACTAGCCTGCCTGCCTCCACACTTCTCAGTTTGAGGGGAAAAAAAGTCCTTATCTTGTTTAAGCCACTATCAGGGAAAAAAAAAAAAATTCCCAGTGCTACATAGAGTAACTCTTTGGATCCTTACAATGCCCCCATGAGCTAGGTATTATTGCTATCTCCATTTTACATATAAGAGAATGAAGCCCAGGGAGGTGCAGTCACTTACCAAAGGGCACACAGCAAATGAGGGAATGACCAGGGTGTGAATGTTAATTGTTTCTTTGCAAGATACATCACTGGCCTTAGCACATGCTGTTTCTCCTGTCCAAAATGTTCTTCTGGTATCTCCTTCCTACCAACGCCATCACATCCCTCCAGCCCCGACTTGACCATTGTCTCCTCGGCGGGCAGTCACCCACCTCTGCTCTTCCCCACACTCGAGGAACATGTGAGCTCTCTCCCATCATTCTCACCACACATTTTGGGTCATGACTTGACCCAAAACCAAAAAAGCACTGTTCCAAGCTGCTGCATAGAATGTAGACCCAATGGTTGGAGCTCCAGCAGCTGTTCTGTGCCATGAGGTCACCTTGGGCACAGAAGCCCCACATAGCAGAACCATGAGATGGAAGGTGTTTAGACCATGAGCCTGCGAGGGTAAGGACAATACCAACCCCACAATGTCCCCAGTGCCCAGCACAGGTGGTCACCCCGCATATGAGGACAGAGGGACCTGAATGGCACTGAATCTGGCACTGGCCCCTCAAATTGGGAACTGAGCCTCCATCCCCAGGGTCCTGCTGAGGGGCCTGCTGGTCCCTGCCCACTCAGGAAGACATCCCTCAGGGCCTGGCTGGGTCTGGGACACCCTCCACTTGGCCCCATGCCTCCCACCTGAACCTCTGCCCTAAATCAGGTCACCAGATTTACCAAATAAAAATAGAAGACACAGGCTGGGCACAGTGGCTCACACTTGTAATCCCAGCACTTTAGGAGGCTGAGGCGAGCAGATCACCTGAGGTCAGGAGTTCGAGACCAACCTGGCCAGCATGGGGAAACCCCATCTCTACTAAAAATACAAAAATTAGTCAGGCGTGGTGGCACATACTTGTAATCCCTGCTACTTGGGAGGCTGAAGCAGGAGAATCGCTTGAATCCTGGAGGTGGAGGTTGCAGTGAGCCAAGATTGCACCACTGCACTCTAGCCTGGGCAACAGAGGGAGACTCCGTCTAAAAAAAAAAAAAAAAAAAAAGATAAAGGGGTAATCGGTTTTCAGCATAAGTGTGCACTATGCAAAATTTGGGATATACTTATACTAAAAATAAGATGCAGGCCAGGCACAGTGGCTCTTGCCTATAATCCCAGCATTTTGGGAGGTTGATGTGGGAGGATCGCTTGAGCTCAGGAGTTCAAGACCAGCCTGGGCAACATAGTGAGACCCTGTTTCTACAAAAACAAAAACAAAAACAAAAACAAAAATAAAAAAATTAGCCAGATGTGGTGGTACACGCCTGTGGTCCCAGCTATTCGGCCTGAAGTGAGAGGATCACTCAAGCCTACAAGTTCAAAAGCAAACTGGGCAACATAGGGACACCCTGACTCTATTAAAATATAATAGTAATAAAAAAATAAAATAACTGTGGTCCCAGCTACTTGGGAGGTGGAGGCGGGAGAATCACTTGAGCCCAGGAGGCCAAGGTTGAAGTAAGCCATGATCATACCACTGCACTCCAGCTTGGGCAACAGACAAGATCCTGCCTCAACAATAACAAAAGATTCACTGTGAGAAATTTACATTAAGAAGGCATCCTGTGTGTTTGACAGTCCTAGGTCTGAACTCCAACCCCATCTGCTGCATGGAGCATGTGGACCCAATGGCTGGAGCCCCCGCTCACCCGGACTCCCACCCCGTCCCCACCCCGGCTGCTCACCCCTTAGGTGCTGCTGCTGCTGCTTGTCCAGAGGGCTCGAGGGTCGCCCGCCCATGCTGCTGCCGTCTCCTGGGGCTTCCCTTCCCCTCCCTACGACCACCGCCTGCGTTCCTCGGTTCAGGGGCACCTGGGTGGCGGGTGAGAGGCTTGGACGCAGTGGGTTCAGAGGCCCCACCCTGGCCCCACCCCATGCTGCACCTGCGTCCTCCCCACTCCCTTGGGGCCAAGTTGCCCAGAGCCAGTGGTTTCTGTAGAGGCTGCGGGGACAGTCCCGGGGGTAGGTTGTGGGGTGTGGGAGAAAGAAAATCATAGCTCATCTTGGAGGAGGGCGGCAGGGCAGACATCTGGCAGGACCGGCCAGCAGTCACCGTGTATAGGGGCTGGAACAGGGGGATGGGCAGGGATGGGGCATCTAGTTCCTGGTGCCACACACACCCCCACCACTGTGCCTACCCTGTGCCGGGTGAGGCTGGACCCCAGAGAGGATACAGCCCTGGCCCAGCTCCTAGGGGGAGACAGAGCTGGACAGGCACTCCCAGACTGTCTCTGGGGTCAGTGCTGGGGCGGGGGTAGATGCCAAGGTCTTAGAGGATGGGGGGGTCTGGCAGGGGCGAGCAGAGACTTGGGGGGCACTGAAGCTTCATCCTTGATTCCTTCCTCAGGCCCCCAACACTGTCCCTCCTACCAGTCCATCACCTGGACTCCGTTTCTTTTTCCTTTTTTTTTTTTTTACAGACAGGGTCTTGCTCTGTCGCTCAGGCTGGAGTGCAGTGGCACGATCATGGCTCGCTGCAGCCTGGAACTCCTGTGCTCAAGCGACCCTCTTGCCTCAGCCTCCAGAGTAGCTGGGCCCACAGGCACACGCCACCACCATGCCTGGTTAATTTTTGTATTTTTTGTAGACACGGGGTCTTCCTATGCTGCTCAGGCTGGTCTCAAACTTCTGGACTCAAGTGATCCACCTGCCTCGGCCTCCCAAAATGTTAGGATTACAGGCGTGAGTCACTACACCTGGCACAGTTCACTTAAATGTCTCTTAAAGGTGTCCTTTTTTTTTTTTTTTTTTTGAGATGGCGTCTAGAACCGTTGCCCGGACTCAAGTGCAATGGTGTGATCTTGACTCACTGCAACCTCCACCTCCTGAGTTCAAGCAATTCTCCTGCCTCAGCCTCCCGAGTAGCTAGGATTACGGGCGCCCGCCACCACACCCAGCTAGTTTTTTGTATTTTCAGTAGAGACGGGGTTTAATTATGCTGGCCAGGCTGGTCTCGAACTCCTGACCTCGTAATCCGCCCACCTTGACCTCCTAAAGTGTTCTTTTTTTGAGACAGAGTCTTGCTCTGTCGCCCAGGCTGGAGTGCAGTGGCGCGATCTTGGCTCACTGCAAGCTCCGCCTCCCAGGTTCATGCCATTCTCCTGCCTCAGCCTCCCAAGTAGCTGGGACTACAGGTGCCTGCCGCTGCCACACCTGGCTAATTTTTTTTCTTGTATTTTTAGTAGAGATGGGGTTTCACCTTGTTAGCCAGGATGGTCTCGATCTCCTGATCTCGTGATCCGCCCACCTCGGCCTCCCAAAGTGCTAGGATTATAGGCTTGAGCCACCGTGCCCGGCCTTTTTTTGTTTTTTTTTTTTAAGACGGTGTCTCACTCTGTTGCCCAGCCTGGAGTGCAGTGGCATGATCTTGGCTCACTGCCACCTCCGCCTCCTGGGTTCAAGTGATTTCTGGCTAATTTTGTTTTGTTTTGTTTTGTAGAGATGAGGTTTCGCCACGTTGGCCAGGCTGGTCTCAAACTCCTGACCTCAGGTGATCCTCTCGCCTCAGCCTCCCAAAGTGCTGGGATTACAGGTGTGAGCCACCTCACCCAGCGGTGTCCCTTTTCTCGGGCCCAGATCCCATCTCCAGCACCCCCAAATTCTCAGTGCTGACCTCCCGAAGCTGTCCCAGTGCCCTCTGGGAAAGCACCACTGAGGCCCCAGCTTCATCGCTCTAAGAGCCCTCTGGCTCTGCTCAGCCCCCTGCAGCTCCCAAAGCCCCCACGTTCCTCTGACCCCCGCGGTCTTGTCCAGTGCCTGAACTCTTGCTCCTGCCTCCTGCACGTGGTCGTCCAAGCTTCACCCCTCAGGTGAAGAGACCAGATACCAGCCCCTTGGAGAGCCGTCCCAGTGCCCCTGGACTGGTTGGGCACGACCTTTATGTCCCAGCATTTGACCTGGTTTGGTTAGTTGGGTGTCTCCACCCCTTCACCTGTTTTGTGCCTGGCACACAGCAGCCCTTGATGTTTGCTGAATGAATGCATGAATAAATGCGTGCATGAATGAATGAATGAATGAATGAATGAAGGGAGGGAGGGCATGCAGTCTACACTCCAAGCTGAAATGTGATCAAATGGAGCCATCACAGGTGTTCTGATGAGGGGAGTGTCAAGCACTGAGCTGTGGATCCAGCGTGGGCTGGGGAGTGGGGTAGGTCCCTGAAGACCTCTCAAGGACACTGAACACTTCCCAGCAGTCAGGGGCTCCAGGCTGGAGGAAGGAAAGCCCAGAGTGTGGCCCCTCAGATGGCAAGATCCCCAGGGAGCCCCTGAGGCAGGCGGGCAGCTCATCAATGAATAGGGAACACGTGTCCCTCAATGTCCATTGCTCCTATTGGCTTCAGTAGTAGAATCCCTGATCATAACGGAGCCCATGGTTGTCCAGTGGAGACTCATTTTCCAGACTTCGTTGCTGCTGTGTGGGGCTGTGTAACCCAGGCTGGCCAAAAAGGAGTGAGCAGAAGCGTCTTGAGTGAATCCTGGAAAGCTTCTTCATGCTAGGGCTGGAATGTGGACACAATGGCTAGAGCACAAGCAGCCACGTTGGGCCATGAGGCAGAATCCAGCTGATGACAGGGCAAAGTAATGATGTAGAAGGAGCTAGGGTTCCTGAAGAATGTGTGGCATTGCTTTACCAGCCCTGAACAGTGTCTCTCCAGAGAAAGAGCTAAACCTCCGTTTTGCTTAAGCCTCTAGTAATATCTGAATGTAATCTTCACTAACATCCCAGGATTCATTTCTTCTTTTAAAAAAAATTTATGTTGGCCGGTCACGGTGGCTCAAGCCTGTAATCCCAGCACTTTGGGAGGCCGAGAAGGGCGGATCACGAGGTCAGAAGATCGAGACCATCCTGGCTAACACAGTGAAACCCCGTCTCTACTAAAAAAAACACAAAAAAACTAGCCGGGCGAGGTGGCGGGCGCCTGTAGTCCCAGCTACTCGGGAGGCTGAGGCAGGAGAATGGCGTGAACCCAGGAGGTGGAGCTTGCAGTGAGCTGAGATCCGGCCACTGTACTCCAGCCTGGGCAACAGAGCGAGACTCTTCCTCAAAAAAAAAAAAAGAATTTATGTTTTGGCCAAGTGCGGTGGCTCACACCTGTAATCCCAGCACTCTGGGAAGCCAAGGCGGGTGGATCACGTGGTCAGGAGATCGAGACCTTTTTTTTTTTTTCAAAAAAAAAAAAAGAAAAAATTATGTTTTTTTCAGCTGGTCCTTGTGGCTTAAGCCTATAATCCCAGCACTTTGGGAGGCCAAGGCAGGTGAATCACCTGAGGTCAGGAATTTGAGACCAGCCTGGCCAACATGGTGAAACCCTGTCTCTACTAAAAATACAAAAAATAGCCAGGCATCATGGTGGGCGCCTGTAATCCTAGCTACTCAGGAGGCTGAGTCAGGAGACTCACTTGAACCCAGGAGGTGGAGGCTGCAGTGAGCTGAAATCGGACCACTGCACTGCAGCCTGAGCAACAGGGCGAGACTGTATCTCAAAAGAAAGAAAAAAGAAAACCATCAGATTATAAGACGGGCAAGGAAGAAAAATGCAACAGGAGGGGATACAGGATGGGCATGGAGGGGTCACGGAGATGATGTTGCCAAAGACCTAAATGAAAGGAAGCAAGGAGTTGGGCTCTGTGGTTCATGCCTGTAATCCCAGCACTTTGGGAGGTTGAGGCAAGTGGATCGCTTGAGGTCAGGAGTTCGTGAGCAGCCTGGCCAGTATGGTGAAACTTGATGTTTCTACTAAAAATACCAAAATTAGCCGGGAGTGGTGGCGGGTGCCTGTAGAACCAACTACTTGGGAGGCTGAGGCAGGAGAATTGTGTGAATCCATGAGGTGGAGGTTGCAGTGAGCTGAGATCACACCACTGCACTCCAGCCTGGATGATACAGCAAGACCGTGTCCCCCCCAAAAAGAAAGCGAGGTTCCAAGCCATGCAAAAAGCTGCAGGAAAGGAGCTATCAGGCAGCGGGCTCAGCACAGGCAAAGGCCCTGGGGTGGGAATGTGCTCAGCGAGCTCCAGGAACAGCAGCAAGTGGGTGCGCTGCAGGGAGACTGAGTGAGGGGCCGATGTTGCTGGGGAGACGGGGGAAGTGAAAGGGGCCACGTGGAGCCTTGTGGGATGGGTGGATTTCACTCCGAAGGCAAAACGGAGCAGGAAGAGTTGTCACTCTTGGGAAGAGTAGGAGATGGTGACAGCTCCAGGCAGAACCGTCCATGTGGGGTCCCTGCGCTGGTTGCTCAATTTCCCTTCGCTTCTCAGCCCTGTGTCCGCAGCTCTGGGGGCCACGGCCACCTGCCCTCACCCAGGCCCACAGCTGAGCTTACACTCAGCTCTCTTTGCTGTTTACCAACCTCCTTCCGGTCAGGCCCCGTCCCACTTCCTCACTCTCACATCTGAGTGGCCCGCCGGGACAAGATGTTGAAGGAAACTTCACTTTCTGTGGTTTCGGCTCCACTCTCACCCTGCACAGCCGCCTCTGCGTAGGTTTCAATTCCCACCTCCTGCTCAGCCGGGTGCCTCCTCTGGATCCCCCAGCAGAAGTCTGCACATGGCTGGGCAGCCCCCATGCACCCACCAGCCTCCCACACTGTCATCCCTGGGGCCCCGAGAAAGCTGAAGCGTGGGCCATGAGCAGATGCACTCTGGGAAAATGTGCAGGAGCCCAGCACAGGGACACTAGACTCTCTGGTGCTTTCAAGGCTCTGAGCAGGTCTGCAGCACGGCTGAATCCAGTGCGTGGCCCTGTCAGCGCAGTTGGAGCTCAGCAGAGGGTTGACTTATGTCCCTCACAGGACATGTCTACATCCTGACCCAGGAAACTCAGCATGTGACCTT